GGATGGCTAGACCCCAAACCCTAAATCGTCTTCGACATTTGAAGAGTCTAAATCGAAACACTAGATCGACGACATGTTCCCTCATCTTTTCCAATATGCATCTGGAAGAGTCATAGTCACCGAAAACCCCTCTTGACCGTATCCATCTTTATGTAGAACTCTCCAGAAACCACCTAACCCCCTCTATGATGCCATTGATCTAGACTTTCCTCCTCTCCCTTTCTGAGTACATCTCTATCAATGACTTAGATTCAAAGAACGATGACGACCTACATGACAGATCTAGTGAAGCTTTTGATCTCAATAAAGATGGATATTTAGATGGTTTCTTTAGAGGTTTAGACAAAGACGTGAAATGGTGGTAGGTGACGACGACATACCATAGGAAGTGAAGATGTTTCCGGTTCAGATATCTGGTGGTAGTGGTGCCTATTAGGGATGAGAATTTGGCATGAAAACCATAACCAAACCGAAAAGTGAACTGAACCAAACTGAATTAGGCCCGAATAAGCTATTCGATTCAATTTTCGGGTATCTAAGGCTTATTCGGTTTTCGGGTTAATCGGTCTGGGTTACCCAAATAAGGTCTTATTGGGTCCAAAAGGACCGAACCAAATATGAAAAGTCACATTTTTCCCCTTGAACGATTGCTTATTCGGTCTTGTGTTCTATCGATCGTTACCCAAAATACTCACGTAATGTTTAATGTTTAACTTATATACTTATAGATAGATTTTTGGGTGTTTTGGATGTTTAATGTTTAGTGTTTAATATGTTGCATAATAACTATATCTTACGATTGTGGTGGTTGGATTTTACATTTTATATATCAAGAATAGTTAATCCGTGTTATTCGTTTTTATCATAGGCTACAAAAGTCATACAAAATAAAATATTTATAATCACATTGTAAATGTTATTTGGGCTATTTGGGTTCGGGTTATTCGGTTCCTTAATCTTCTTGAACATGTTATTTGGGTTATCCGGGCTGGAACCGAACCGAACCAAATAATACCCGAACTGAACCGAACCCCTGTTGCTTATTTGGTTCGGTTTTCGGTTCATACAATTACCCTTATTCGGTTTTCGGTTTATTCGGGTTCGGTTCGGTTCGGTTCTGACCCGAATAACATCCCTAGTGCCTATTTCCAATGATTTCATAGAGAAAAAAGAGAGAGATAAACAAAGAGTCATTACGTGAACAGCGAAGACATATTTCTTTTGTTTTTCAAAATTAATAATAACAATAATATTAACAGTAAATTAATTGAAAAAAAAATTACACAAAGGCCTTATGGTCATATCAGATCTAGCATGGATTAAGATCGAAACAAATCAGGAACGAAGCCTGCAAGTTTTAAGCAAATGATGGACGATCCGAATTAATTTTTGAAAATAGGGACTGAAATGTTTATGATGATAACTAAAATGTTTATGATTTATTATTTATGTTTTATAATAAAAAAAAAATAACTATTAAAATAACGACTGAACATGTCTTTTGGCATTTGAACAATGGACGATTCGTTTAATTTACTCTAATTTAAAGATCCTCTTTTTTAGGTGGGGTAAGAGGAATTAATTAATCTAACCATTTTTAATGTGTATTTTTTAAAGAAAAATAGCTCTTTTTTTTTGGCAAAAATAACCACTTTGTCCGGAATGGGGTATTCCAGACCAAGAAAAAAAACATTTTTTTTACTAATTCTGTAATGACATTCCATATTCCGGACTAAAATTTCGGATTTTGAACAAAAAAAAAAAAAAAAAAAAAAAAACTCTGGAATTCCAAGAACAAATTTGAATCCAAAGAATAATTCCGGAATTTCGCGAAAAAAAAAAATCATTTTTTTACTTAAATTTAACAAAAGGTTTAAAAAAAAAACATATTAATGTGAACTATATACGATATTGGTGTATAAAATTAGATATTTTATTGAGAAACGATTACATTAAGCATTTTGAAATGCAGTATGTGAAATCACAAAATAAAATAAAAAATTTCTTTGAAAATTAAATTTAAAAAAAATATAAATTAAATTAAAAAATAAACTCCGGAATATGAAAGTATTTCGGAATTAAGCATTCTAAAGAAAGTGATTATTTTTAAAACTGAAAAAATATTGTTATTTTTCTTTGAAAACCTCTTTTATAATGGTTAGGTTACACAATTTCCCTTTTTTTTGTATCGTGCTTGCTTTAAATAAAAAAGTAAATTAGATTTTAGTCCCCATGGTTAAGTCCTTTTAAAGATCCTATGAAGGTTTTTTTTAGTTTTAAGGTTCATCAGCCAAACAAAAGTTATTTGTCATGTTTTCGATTCTTAGACCGTTAGACTTAACGAATCATTCATTTAGTTCATGAAAATGATTATTTTGCCTTTTGTATTTTTGTTCTTTTTCATCCACTTACCATGTTCAAGAACACTAAAATATCTAAACCATAAATCTTAAAGGCTTTAACATCTAAACCAAAAATCTACGAATTAATAATCATTATCACTAAAAAAAAAAAAAAAAAAAAAAACTTGCAGCATAAGTTTAGACGTTTCAACCTTATTTTTAGTAATACCATTTTATCATCAAGTATGTTATAATGTTAATAGGGTATTATGCGTCTATTGTGTAAGTTAAGGATTTTTGGAGTTGACGGAATGTTAAAACGTACATAAGGTATGGCAGAAACTGTTAAGTATATTACTATTATAATTTGATAAAGTTGGTGTAATTGGGATAAAATTTTCACCTTTGATTTGAGAGAAAAGATTAAGGTGTAAGTTTTATAATTATTACAATTATTTGAAATTTTCTAATACAAAGTAATAACTAGGTAAAAGTATGTAAACCGAATTAAACTCGTAGTGGTTTCTTTAAGTTCGACCAAGAGAGAGGATGGGGGGCAAGGGGCTATTTGTTGCTTTCAAAGGAAGGTGTAAGATATTTTGCAACAAATTATTTTTATGGTGGGTTTGATGGAGGTAAGAAATTCTAACACCCCTCACTATAGCCTCATTTAAAATTACATTATACTTTGAAACAAATTTTTTTTTTTCATAACTTCAACAAGAAATATCAAATATTGTAAAACATCTTCAATATTGTTGGGAAGATTAGAGTTTGTGGTGGAGATCTGGATACCAACTTGGATCGTGATATCACTTTCCGAACTGATATTTCTACCCTATGTTTAGGTTACAAGAAATTCAGCCTAAGATATAAATTAAATTAAAAAATAAACTCCGGAATATGAAAGTATTTCGGAATTAAGCATTCTAAAGAAAGTGATTATTTTTAAAACTGAAAAAATATTGTTATTTTTCTTTGAAAACATATTTTATAATGGTTAGGTTACACAATTTCCCTTTTTTTTGTATCGTGCTTGCTTTAAATAAAAAAGTAAATTAGATTTTAGTCCCCATGGTTAAGTCCTTTTAAAGATCCTATGAAGGTTTTTTTTTAGTTTTAACGTTCATCAGCCAAACAAAAGTTATTTGTCATGTTTTCGATTCTTAGACCGTTAGACTTAACGAATCATTCATTTAGTTCATGAAAATGATTATTTTGCCTTTTGTCTTTTTGTTCTTTTTCATCCACTTACCATGTTCAAGAACACTAAAATATCTAAACCATAAATCTTAAAGGCTTTAACATCTAAACCAAAAATCTACGAATTAATAATCATTATCACTAAAAAAAAAAAAAAAAAAAAAAAAAAAAAAAAAAAAAAACTTGCAGCATAAGTTTAGACGTTTCAACCTTATTTTTAGTAATACCATTTTATCATCAAGTATGTTATAATGTTAATAGGGTATTATGCGTCTATTGTGTAAGTTAAGGATTTTTGGAGTTGACGGAATGTTAAAACGTACATAAGGTATGGCAGAAACTGTTAAGTATATTACTATTATAATTTGATAAAGTTGGTGTAATTGGGATAAAATTTTCACCTTTGATTTGAGAGAAAAGATTAAGGTGTAAGTTTTATAATTATTACAATTATTTGAAATTTTCTAATACAAAGTAATAACTAGGTAAAAGTTTCTTTAAGTTCGACCAAGAGAGAGGATGGGGGGCAAGGGGCTATTTGTTGCTTTCAAAGGAAGGTGTAAGATATTTTGCAACAAATTATTTTTATGGTGGGTTTGATGGAGGTAAGAAATTCTAACACCCCTCACTATAGCCTCATTTAAAATTACATTATACTTTGAAACAAATTTTTTTTTCATAACTTCAACAAGAAATATCAAATATTGTAAAACATCTTCAATATTGTTGGGAAGATTAGAGTTTGTGGTGGAGATCTGGATACCAACTTGGATCGTGATATCAATTTCCGAACTGATATTTCTACCCTATGTCTGAGTTACAAGAAATTCAGCCTAGGATAATCCAAGTGGATACTTACGTTTCTAAACACAGAAAACATAAGCCAATATGCTAAAGGATTCTGTGAATGTGTGATGAAAAACGAGAGCTAAAGAACGTAACCCCTTCTGGAAAGGAAGAGTTGTTTATATATTAAACACGATTAGGGTTTCATTAGGGTTGGGTCGTCATTAGTTGCTTTGGAAGCAAGTAATATTAAACCGGATTAGGGTTACCAAAACTAACGAGTTTCGTTAGTTTTACCATAATCACCCTCAAAAAATTGAGTTTTCCATTATGTTCCCACATGCAAAATTCGATGAGGTTTTGGGATCAAGCGGGACCCCAGCCAGGGGCTCTACCCCTTGGATCCCGCTAGAGGCGCTGCCCGTAGACCCTGCCAAAGGGGCGCTACCGCTTTGGAAACCCCGGACCCGAGGGCGCTGCTCGCGGACTCCCGACTAGTCGTTGAACCGGCTTCTGACTCGATCTTATACATACGTGCACTCCTCACAACCTCGTACATATATTAGAATATAAATTATGAAGCCCTTAGCTCATATGTTAGTTCTAGTTACTTAAAATGACATGGTGACACTAAAATCACCAACAAATATTTGGTCGGTTTGTCAATAATAACGCCAAAAGTAAGTATTTTATTAACTTTTAGATCAATACACCATTGTTTTCACTCTCACTCATTGATTACAATCTAAACCGCAAAACCTTCTAAAAGTGTCTTCTTGTTCTTTACTTCATTTCTACAAAGAATATATAATACTTGTGTCTATATCGAAGAATAAAAGTTTCATGTTGCATTCCTTCTTTCATCCAATACCTATTTCAGGAAAAAAAAAAAAAAAAATGTGTTAAATAAATTTCCCTTTTTGAAAACTCAATATAGAACCATATAGAAATTGTCAAAATTGGGCAAAAATTTTAGAATGATAAGGACTTGAAAGATACCTTTCTTTGGAACATTCTCATTGTGAGCACCAGTGTATCTCGCATTCTGAAAATTGAAAGAGTTAAATACAAGAAATAGCAATGTACCTGTTATTGATTAATGTATTATAACATTTTACTTTCATTTCTTGCTATTATAGTTTTGTACTTTGAAAAAATATACTCAATATAACAATGTCATCTAAATACAAAACGCTTTTCAATGCTATAGTTGAATAGATTTCTCAAAGTACAATGCCGTAATAAGGAAAAAAAAGTACAATGTTATATTCGGGTTTAAAAGTACAATACTTAATAAGATATAAGCTGAAAGTATAACACTATAATAGAAAGAAATGAAAGTAGGATGTGGTAATATAAAAATAAATGTAAGTACGTTACTATTTCTTGCATTTAGCCCCAAAAAATACAATAGAATGATATCTTGTTGACAACAAAAAGATTGGTCCATTAACCAAATCACCCAACAAATCGTTGAATTTAGCAAGACCAAGTATTAAAGTTGAAGCGAAAAGATAGTACAGTTTGACTTTTGAGGTCAAAATGTATGTAACAATACTTCCAAATTCAAATTTTGACATGCATCTGTCACAAACTTGCATCAACATATTCTTTATTTGTAGTAGTTGTCATAAGGATTAGTACAGGCATGAATTCTGCCTTGAAACTATAAAAAATGACATCAATTTTGAATCTCAAAAGAAGTTTGTTTGACCTGAAAAGTCAAAGAGTACTATATCTTTGTAATATGTAAAAAAAACTAACTCACTAAGTAAATAAGAACAAGAGGTAAATATTTTACCGAGCATCCTGGAAAGTATTAAAAGGATGTGAAGAACCATCCGAATATGTCAACACAAATTGTGTAGGAAGACCTGAAGGGATCTTTATCTACAAAATCATTATAAGAAAGAGATGACCATTATCAAAATTATAAAGAAGCTTTTTAAGGATTTTTTTTCAATGATAATGGCTGATAGGGGCATTTACGTCCTTTGCACAAACAAGAAATTAAGATTGAGTCTCGATCCCCTGTTTTCCACCTTTTTGGGTGAGACAAAAATGTGCAATTTTTAATTTGCTTCGATCACAAGTTTTAAAATTTAATACTCCATCTTTCCCATGAGAAGTCCAACAATCTCTATTTTTAGAAACTTTCCAAAAAGTTACAAAAAATCAAGATTTCCTATTTTTTTCATTGTTGAAGGGTATTTTAGTCATTCGACTAATAATTAAGTAGGTATCCAAAAATTCAATTATTAAATTTGTAAATGTATTTTTTTCAACAAGTTAAAAATTTAAATGCCATCAAAATCGCTTATTCAATTTCCCTTCAAGAAAGGATGATTTGCTTGCAAGTTGCAATTGAAACCAAATATGTTTAGGAAGTCAATATTAAAATACATCCCTAAATTTATATGCCAAATCAAACTCATATTCATGTCTATATAAAAAAAAGAAAAATTAAATATCCTCCTACATATCCTCCTACACATCCTAAATTGTGACATGTGTCAGACAAATGTATTAAAATATTATTATTTTCATTAAATATAACACATGTCATCATTTAAGATGGGTAGTAGGATATGTAGAAAGAAATTGTAGGAGGATATTTAATTTCACATAAAAAAAAAAAAATGAATGTTTTATTTCACATACCGATACATCATTGGTATATTCCCCTTGGATGAAAATTTCTTGTGTCCGATTGATCTTTACTTGGTAGTTTGATCGCCTTAAAGTGAAAGTTGTTTGCTCCCGATTCTCGGAAGAATCCATCTGCAAAAAAGTCTCAAGTTTTATGAGCCTTAACAAAATAAATTTTAAGCGTAAATTGGTCATATCATTCCAATTTCGCAAGTCAGAAACTCAGAATTGTCTTACAAACGTTCTAGTTCAAAAAGTATATGGATAAATGATTTATAAAAAGTATTTAAGAAAACAAGGTTAGGAAAAATATTATGGGTTAAATGCAAAAAATACTTTCATTTCTTCCTAACAAAACATTGTAGTTTGAAAAAATTACCAATTATAGCAATGCAATAAATATACAAAACATTTTTCAATGCTAAAATTGGGTAGATTTTAGAAAGTATAATCCCCTAATGAGAAATAAAAAATAAAAAAAAAATGGAAGTAGAATGCTATGATTCTGTTGAATTTTTGACGTACAATAATACTCCTTGATAACAAAAAATGTGAAAGTACAATATTGTAATGGAAATAAATGAAAGCAGGAATTTAGATATTATGATAACACAAATAAATAAAAGCACGTTATTTCTTGAATTAAGTTCAAAACTGAAATGAGGGCAAATTTGTAAAAAGTGAGGGGTTAATGTCAATAAGAAAAAAGAAAATTAATTTACCAGAAGCAAAATACTAAATGATGCTTGACCAGCTGCCATATATTTGTCTATCTCTTCTTGCATTTCTGGATCTGTGAATTATCATATTTCAAAAGATTAAAAACTCCCTTTTTAATAAATTATTCATGAAGATTACCAATTTAACCTTGTTAACAAGGTTAACTTACCACAGATTATCTTGTTTTGCTCATTGGCAAAAAGTCGGACTATTTCCCCCTGACAACAACAAAGTTTCTCAAAATTTTAGATTATCATATTGAAAATATAGTTTTTTAATAATATGTATTGTATTATTATTTATAAAAATTAAAACAGAATCAGCAAAAATGTATTGGGGCTCAAGCTCAACCCAAAACTCCAAAATAAAAAAGTACGATTGTATATTAAAATATAAAGAATTAACAACTTAAATTACCATATCACATATATAACGTTGTATGTTGATTGAAATATCTAATTAAAAAGAAAACTTGATGATTATATCAACTTAATAGAAGGTTACTTTTTCATTTAGTTTTGTGCCATTGAAAATAATTTATTATTCTTTAACTATTTTATATCATATTATATATCCAGCTAAAAAAAATTAAAAGTTGGAATAGATTTTGAATTTAAAAATTATAGATTTGAATATTTTTTTACCTGACGACCATGATCATCCATTGGTATGCATTCAACAGCAATAAGTTTATCAACATCATCAGCTGTAACTATATACTCTGGACTTGTGGCTCCTGAGAATTTGGAATGAATTACCTTTTTACCCTTTAAGAAAAAGGATTAAATGCAAGAAGCAGAAATGTAATTTCATTGTTTCGTATGATAGCGTCCTACTTTCATTTCTTTCTATTAAAAGTTGAAACATTGTACTTTAAAATTTGTAACGAATTATAACAATGTCATACATATACAACGCAATTTTCAAAGCTACAATTAGGTAGATTTTTATATGTACAATGTTGTAATGGAAAAGTAAGATACTATATTACATGAGAATTGAGCAATGAATTACCAATCATGCGTCAATGGGTGTGCATTAGAAATTTCTTACACTTTCAAAAATAGTTTAAATGCAATAGCAAAAAAATTGAGTATATTTTTTTAAAGTATAATACCTTAATAAGAAAATAATTGAAAGTACAATGCTACACTTGCATAGATTCTTCGGAGTACAATAATGTAATAGAATAAATGCAAATATGTTGCTATTTCATGCGTTTAGCCTTTAGGAAAATACACACTTAGTGTAATAAATATGAATAATACATATATGGGTCCATCTCTCCTATTTTCCTTTACTATTTTTTGCATTTTGTCAAATAAAACTAGTTTTATATACTTACCCTCAATGTACTCCAAAGTAACATCTCGATGGTAATGAACCCACTGAAATACATGCAAATACATTATAAATATATACAAATATCAATCTCTTCATGGTTAACGTTATATTTTATATTCAAATTCTTGAAACTTATATATACCTGAAACATGCATTGTGAGGTCCCATGCAATGGAAATCCACACACTAGAAGTTTACCTCCAGGTTTAGCATCCCCAATTATTTGGAACTCTTTTATTCCCGGGCTATCTTCTATTGGAAAACATATATATATATATATATATATATATATATATATATATATATATATAGTAATTTCATCAAGGTTTTAATGCAAGAAATAGCAATGCACTTTCATTGATATGTTTATTATAGCATCATATTTTCAATTCTTCCTATTATAGCAATGTGGTTTAAAAAATACATCCAACTATAGCAATGTCATCCAACTTCAAAGCAATTCTCACTGCTAGAATAAAAAAATTAAAAAATTAAAAAAAAAAAAAAAAAGAACATAAAGGTACAATGCCATAAATTTGGTAAATTTTCCTAAGTACAATACCTTAATATGAAAACTTTGAAATCACAATGTTGTATTGGAAAGATGAATTTAGGATGTTGTAATACACAAATATATGAAAGTGCATTGCTATTTTAAATATCTTGCATTTAATGCTTTCATAATTGTGTTTGTTACCTTCTAAGTATGAATTACCTCGATCATTAGATCTATCACTATTCACCCTATTAGAGAACAAAAAGAGATTTTTCATTACAGAAAAAAATACTTTGGAAGTACGATGCATCAAGTTATTCTTTTCTCTATGGTCTCTTTCAGCTTGTGAAAATCGTTGCTGACCCTGCAAGAAAAAGAAATAAATAAATATTTTATGCATAAAACTATAAATGAAATGATTGCAACTTAATGCCAAAAGAAATTCTCATGGCTATTAATTATAATATAGGGGGAGATGATAGTATAAGCTTAAACATAATCATGCCTAAACAAGCTAAATGAGTAAAAAGTTAAAGAGAATAATCCAAAATGCAAAAAAATGGCAACCTACTTTCATTTATATGTGTATAATAGCATCATAATTTTATTTCTTTCTCTTACAAACTATACTTCTAATCTTTTTCTAATCGAGGCATTGTATAATGAAATCTATAAAATCATAACATTATACTTTTAAAATTTCTTATGACAAATCTTTAACCTAATTTTCCAAGAACAACAACTTACGATTATACTTAACAATGCCTCAATGTTCATTCATTACAACATCATACTTCAAAATTCTACAAAATTATAACATTCACATTTTCTTTCTTAGAAAATATCTTCAACCTAAATTTCAGGGAACAATAACTTACGATTTGAAATTCCAACGAGATTTGTAGTTGTTTGATAACCACTGCCATTGTTGGACGTTGTTTCCGATCCATACTGAGGCACTGATAAGCAATCTTTCTGAATGTTTGCAATGAATTTGGTTTTGCTTGTTTCCGTATTTCAGGAAAAATGATTTCATCTATGTTTCTTTCTTTATAACGAAGTGTGACCAAGTGAGATAAGAACCTACGTTCATCATCATATTTTCTAATCATTGCTGGCCTTCCACATAACACTTCAAACAATATCACACCAAAAGAATACACATCAGATTCTTTTGTAAGTACTCCTGTTGATACATATAATGGATCAACGTACCCTAATGTCCCAACTGCATTGGTGACAAGAAAAGTAAACTCCTGGTTTGTGGGGCCTATTTTAGACAACCCAAAATCAGAAATCTTTGCATTCCAATTCTCATCCAACAAAACATTTGAGCTCTTTATGTCGCGATGTAGCACCCTGTGCCCCTCTCCTACATCGTTATGCAGGTAATATAGTCCTCGAGCAGCACCAAGACATATATGAATCCTTTGCGCCCATGTAAGATGATCAGTGGCTAAGTGATTATCGAGGCTTCCATGAATCTCATGATTATACACAATGATCTTTTCATCACCTTCATCACAGAATCCAACAAGAGAGACGAGATTCTCGTGTTTGTAACTTGAGAGCATCACGATCTCCATCAAAAACTCTTTTTCTCCCTGCCCGCACTTCACATCTAACCTTTTTACAGCGACGGTGGTGGATGGCCTGGTGGAAGAGGCGGGGATGACTGGGAGTTGACCCTTGTACACCCTCCCAAATCCACCATGACCGATGACGTTACAGTCGGAAAAGTTTTCTGTGGCTAATTTGATGGCTTCAAGTGGAATTTTAAGGTGGTTGAATTCCGGAATAAGAGACATACTAGATATTATTAAATATTGAGAAGATGATTGGAGTGTTGACACGCAGATAAGAAAGAACAGAACAGCAGGAAAGATATTTGTTGAATATGTAAATGATTTTCTTTCGAGACATTCAGAACTAAAATTGACGAATAGAGTCGGTTGACGTTGACCAAAACATTTAAGAAAAATAAAGCCTCGAAAAGACCGTCCACGTTCCAATCAAATCGTCCCACACGGAAAACAAGTCGGCCTTTAATTTTTTTTTCTTCTAAATATCTAACTAATATTTATAAAGAGAATTAAAATTATTAAATTGTCTCCTGTCTACACAATAAAATCAAAAGTCACCCTTCTTCCATCTCATTTTTATTTTAAATAATATATATAACCGGAAAATACAAATATTATATAATCTACTACTAAACTAACACCTAATATCACATATATTTACCACGGGATTTGAACCCTCGAACTTAAAGAGGGAGAACATCACCTGATACCGCTCGGTTTGGTGTGTGTGTGTGTGTGTGTATATATATATATATATATATATTACTGAGGTACCCGCGCGATACAACAGTGTCGAATAGTTCCTTTCGGCGAATAGTTCTTAGGGCGATTACAAAGTTCAAGTCCGGACCTATTTTGCAGAAATTGGTGGACCTTGGACCAGACATGTTCAAGTGAAGGTCCAAATATTCACCCTAACCTAGACTTGGTCACAATATTTTTTATACCTTTTGATTTTTTTATCATAATTTTTGATGTTTATTTTTATCAATGTTTCATCCATTTATATTTGTGTAATAAGTTAATATTTTATTTATCTTCTTTGTGTTATTTTTTTATATGTTAAATTACATTATTATAAAGACATGGTCAATAAATAATAACATAAAACATTAAACAAAACAAATTTTCTATTTTGATAATAATAAACAAAATCAAATTAAAAAATGCATGAAATGTAGAGTACTACTACTACTAATAATAATAATAATAATAATAATAATAAAGTCAATGATATATATATATATATATATATATATATAAATAGCGAAAAGTGAATATACCCTTAAAGGTATAAAAGCTTAAGTATCTAAACCCACCATAATACGTCGTTTTGTTTGATATATTCATTATAATGTTCTTAAGCTTCGATCCCTAACTTGATTTACCTTCAAGATTTTCAAATTTTCATTATTATCTTCCCCTTACATCTCATCTTTTGTCGAACACCTATATGTAACAGGAAGATAAATATGAAATTTATAAAAATCTTGAAAGTAAATCAAGTTAGAAGTTGAGTTAGAAGAATATTTGACAACTACAATGTATATATATGATACAAACGACTTAATATGGTAAATTTGGGTACCTAAGCTTATATATCATTAAGGGTATATTGACAACTACAATGTATATATATCATTAAGGGTAAATTTGGGTACCTAAGCTTATATATATATATATATATATATATATATATATATATATATATATATATATATATATATATATATATATATATGCCTAGGTTATTCTATTTAAAGTAATTATTGTGTTATTGTATGCATAAATGTGGGCCAATCAAATTTAATTATTTTAAGAAAGTGATTAATATATATTATTGAATTAAATATAATTGAAAATATCATCTTAATTAATTACAAGGGTAATGTAGTCAATTAATATAGATTTAATAAAGGAAAATTGCATTTTTATAAAGGATCATAGATTCTATTAATTTTAAAAATCCGATTTTACGTATTATAATTTTTTTAATTCGAACATTCTAACAGAATATGTTTATGAATATATTCAAAAATAAAAATATTCTTGAACCATAAATAATAAAAATATTCTTGAACCTATTTCTTGATCATGAATTTAAAAACTTCTTGTAGAATAACAAATCCTTGAATAATCAATTGAAGAATAAAAACAAAAAACACATTATTTCTTATAGAATATGGGTAACAATTGTTAAGAATTACATTTACTATTAAGGAATAAAACTAAAAACAATCAAAACGGGAAAGAAAACATCAAAATCTAACAACGACTAATACATTCTAAAAGAATAATGTGGTCCGTTTCAATTTTGTGGTCTGTTCTTCAAGCATTAACATCTGTGATTCCAACAGAATTGGAATTCGTCTTTCCATTCCAATAGAATTGGAATTCGTGATTCCATTCCAATAAAATTGGAATCTCACCAATATCATCTATTGAATCATCTACCTAAACACTCTTCCATTCTCTATTCTTTTCTGCATCGATTCACAATCAATATTTAATACAAAAGAAAAATCACCCTTGCATTCCTTCTCTTCTTCGTTTTCAGTCAAGAACACACCACCTAAGTGTATGTTTTCTAGTGCAAACCTGAATGAAGAGTGTCTTGAAAAGGGTCTTAGGGAAAGCAGTGATGTTGGCAGTGACAACATTGAGCTTCAAAGATTCAAAAACCTCACAAATCTTGACCATCATGTCTCTTCTTTTCTTGCATTTCAAACTCACCAATGTTATCTTCTCTCCTACGTATGACACTTTTAACTGTTAATTAACAGTTTAACACAATCATCAATTTGAGATAAAATCATGAGAGTACGTAAAAACAGTTCAAGACTTTGACTTACTTCAATAATTTCAATCGGAAAGGCCCTTGAATCACTTGTATCTGGAGATTGCTGAATCCTTTTCTTCTTTGACTTTTCCATTGACATGAACACTATGTCCTGATCAAAATCGTAAACCCCAGATTCTGATTTTTGAGACTCTAGTTTCATTATCTCCTCTTGAATAATACTCCCTTGGAGGCCACCGACGACTTAGTTCCATCCGGTGAACTTGAATCACAATAATCGGAAAATGTTTCCTCTAATCCGCCCCAACTGTATTTCAGAAATTGCAGAAGAAGATGATGGATTCAGGTTTAAACAACGAAGAGAAAAGGAGAAGATCATATGATTAGTTAATTAGTATGATTACCTATCGAATTCTTCGGTTTGGAGAAACATATTAGTCTCCCAATAGTTTTTATACCCACCTGCACCGTTGCTTCGCTACTCCTTGTCGAGAGCTCCGTTTCTAGGGTTTGTGTCACAACTAGAAATTTTATGCCTTGTAACTTCAACACTTAAGTGAGAATTATGAATCTAGGACAGGAAAGCATGCATGATACTTATTCTATAACAACAAGTTTTCCATCAAACACTTCATACAAGCATTACAAAATACTCAACAAGCAATTGGGAACCCTAGAAGTTCTTGTTTAGGTCCATTTTGGTCTAGGACTTCCTTATTAGGCCCAATGGACCAATAAGCTTCCAATTTGACCATCTTGGACTTAGAACTCTTAAATGGGCTCTAATTGGATCCACTTTCATTTATTTCAACATTTTGGGCCATATTGGGCCTAGAATGAAATGAATTGAATATTATGAACTATTATGGACCATAATTAACCTAATCTAGCCTAATAAAGCATAAAAATCACACTTATATTTTATAAGGCCAACAATCATTCAACCTAACTCTAATATGGGCTTAGGGGCAAAAAGCCCAAAAATCCTTTCTCTCCTCTCTCCATTCTCGGCCCAAGACAAGCCCAAAAGAAAAGGAAGAGTTGACTTATTTCATGACACCTCATTTTTGTCCTTAGGTTTTCCATGCAACACACATATCTCCATGCAACAATCTTGTCAAACTTCTCACTCCTCCCCTCCCATCTTGTTTCGGCCGAGAGCACACACACACACACACCTCACAAAAACACTCTCTAAATTACTCAAGAATCATCCACTCTCTCCATCCAAGATCTTAAAAATTTGGCTAGAAGCTTAAGGATCTTCATAAAGTGATTCATCATTTAAGGTAAGTTAATGGCTAACTTATGATCTAACTCCCTTCACTTCATAAAAATCTCTTCTAAATTCATTCAATCTTGTGATCTTGCACCTTAGAAGCTCCTAAACTCGAGATCTTCAAGGAAAGGTTGCTAAGGCCGAAAATCACCTCATTTCTTTCCATCTCTTCTCCAAAACCGAAACCACACCCAAAGGTGAGCTTCATACTCCCTATTTTTTGGTTTTACAAGTTTTATGGGGGGGGGGGGGGGGGGGGGATACAAGCAAATGTGTAGATCAATGAGTGTATGTATGTTTTGTGTGATTTCTATGTTTATATTTATGCTCTTATGTGATTGTGGTGTTGGATCTAGTCAAAAAGTCCTTAAAAACCGAGATTTACATTAGGTTTTATGAAACTAATATAAGTTGCATTATTACACACAAATCATTTCTAGAAAAATAACCAAGTTTGTTAATATGAACATCTTTGGACTAAAAACCCATTTTTTTTGGACTCAAAATGTGAAAAATATAAAATTAAAGGGCCCAAAATGACAAGATACGAATTTTGATGGTTGAAATGAGTCAAAATAGTTTCAACAGAGTATTTACTGAAAATATACTCTCTTGAAGGATTAAAATGTGAAATTTTTAAACCTAATGGGCCAAAAATGAACATTTCGGACCAGTAAGGCCCAATTTGCGAGATTTTCAAATTAGAGGGGCTAAAATGTACTTTTCTGTAAAACAGGGGACTACTAGTGCTCCAAGTCCATTTCAAGGGTTAAAAATACTTTTCATATTTAAAAGGGACCAAAGATGCAAAAAATTTCTATTTTGGGCCAAAAGTGTAAAACTTGCAAAAATAGAGGGTTCAGCTGAGAAAACTTCATTTTGAGGGACTAAAACTGTTTTTCAAATAAATTTGAGCTGAAAAATACATTTTCAACAAGTTTTGATACTAAAATGTCAAGAAAAATGGTTTAAGGACTAACATAGAAATTCTATTATTCAAATGGTCAAAATTGTAAATTTATCCAAAAGAAAGGGGCTGCAAAAAAAAAGAAAATCCTAATGTTTTAACCAATAAATCCGTTATGATAAAATACTAGTACCACGACTACCGACAAAACATAATACACCTTCAAATAGTACATGTAAAGTTTTAGTTTAAATTAATTAATACAGTATAAATATGTATTTTAAAAAACGTATATATAAATTTGATTTATAAAGTAAACATATATTTAAAATAAAAATAAAAAGTTATATATGTAGATTTATAAGGTGACTCTATTGCCACATGAGACCAACGTGTGCAATATGTGTACATAACAAGGATAATAATTAAACATACAAACGTGTTCATTTTTTTATTGGGTTAAATATGATACGCGTCAATTTGCATAACATCCCTTAATATAATAAATAAGTATAAAATAGGTCACGTGGCATTCACATAGCCCCCCAAAGCAATTTTTCCCACACTTTTCACTTAATGTCAATTTCCTATACTACCCTTGTGAAACCCAATCGGCTGCTTGATTTCTGCGATTCTTTTTGATTTCTTCCTGCAAAATTTAAATGAATTCAAATTAAATTATCATTATTTTGTTTCTAAAGATAACCGTATGTTTCTAATTTTTTCAAATATATCATCATATATCAACTCCTAAAAAAACGCAATTTACCTAATCAATTAATCTTAAATACATTCTCACGATTATTTTCATTCACATCTAATCCAAACTACGGAGAAAAAGAAAACTTTGCAAGAAATCTTCAAGTCGGCTGTTCTTATTGGTTTAAGGTATGATATTAATTTTTTTTTTTTGATTCTTATTCACTGTGTGCATGTTCAAGTCGTCTGATATATGTTTCTATTTCAATGTATTTCGCACTGTTATCAACTCTTCAAGTCGGCTGTTCTTATTGGTTTAAGTCATGATGTTTGGTTATGATCTTATAATTATTGATTTTGTTCATCTACATGTCGCGATTCTCTGTTTCTTTTTTCCCCGATTTGTAATTAGCCATAGCATGTCATTAATAATGAAATTAAAAACCAAAATTTATAAACAGTGTTTTTGTACCAGATGTTTGTTTTTTTTTTTCTGATTTGTAATCAGCTAATGCATGTGTGTGACTGCTTAACTGATTAATTACTTAATTGTATGTGTAGCACCTCAATAATTTCAAAAATGACCCTTTTGCCCATGGTCATAAATATATATTCACACACACTCATATAGACCAATTAAATATAAATGTTTCTCAAATAGCTGATTTGTATCTTTAGTTTATGATTGTATTAAAAAATTAAATCATTTTTAGAATGAAATTTATAATGTCTGTTTGTTTTTTTCTCTGATTTCTAATCAGCTAATGCATGTGTCTCACTGCCTAACTGATTAATTACTTAATTGTATATCTACCACCTCAATAATTAAAAAAAATGACCCTTTTGCCCATGGTCATAAATATATATCAACACACATACTGATATAGACCAATTAAATATAAATGTTTAAATAAAATTATATGTTTATTGTATGTGTGTTTTTGAATTCTGTTTGGTACTATTGCTTCTCATGGTCTTCAGTACAACACTAATATGCTTTAAATTTAAATGAAAACAGGAAAATGGATATTAGTTTTCATATTCTATCAATTGTTTGCAGGAAATGAATATCAATTGTAGTTTATTGGCTAATATGTTTTCCAATCTACTTTTATTGACTAATTTGTTTTTACAGGAATTGGTCAAGCCCAAAGTCATTTTGATGTAACCAAAATGTTCATTAATTCTGACATTGTTGAAATTAATGAGTTTAAGAAAGAGTTAGTTTTTTAGTTTATTTTGATTTAAACTTATTTATGTTATAATTATTTTTAAATGAATACAATTTTACATATATTTTTAAACATTACAGATTGAAAGCTGATAATAATGGAGGTATGTCTGAAAAAAATATAACTACACTCCCAAGCTACTCTTCTTCTTATATAGATGATTTTAAAGGGGAATTTCCTTTAAAAACTGTTTGTGAGATCACAGAACCACTGAAGGTATATTTTCTTTACTTTATATGTTTTAATTTAATTTAAACATTGTATTTTAATTTAATTTTACATTTTATTTGATATAGGAAATGAAATTTCTATTAGTTGGTACCATCGTCAATATAAGACAAAATCTACCTTGGTATTACGATGCGTGCTACAAATGTGGAAGAAGGATAAACAATGTGCCCCAAACCAATCTTTCCTATACCGCCCCCGGAAAGATGGAAGATAGTGTTGTTGTTAAGTGTAAAAATGCAACTTGCAACGGTTCAAATTTTCATACCGTTCTAAAGTATACACATATCTATTTAATTTAATTGTTTCATTTTTCAACAAAATTAGTATTAATCTAATATTTTTTTTAGGTATATAATTCCTATCAACGTCCAAGATCATACCGGTACCATCGGATTTACTCTTTTTGATAGAGAAGCAAAAAGGTTGTTGGAAATCAGTGCATTTGAGTTGAAAAAAATACATGAAGCGGTATAATATTTTATTAATATTATTCCTATCTAATAACAACACTATTGGTTTTAATATATTACACAACCTTCTTACAGGCTGGCGACAGTTTGGAACTATTTCCAAATCAAATGAACATCTTGAAAAACCGCAAATTTGCGTTTCTTGTAGATATTACATCCTACAATGTCACCAACTATAACAATATCTACACCATTGTCAGACTTACAGAAGATGTGTCCATTGTTTCCGAATTGGAAAGTAAACTAGAACTTATGGTACATAATGTTATGATGTTCAACATTTTTATTTGTTTTTTATTTAGATACATAACGTTTTACATATTTCAATTTTATTTTCTAGAGTGTTCAATCAGTGTCTTTAAATGAAGTACCCCTAGAATCATATGAAGTTGTTCAGAATGTTCAAAAGGTATATTATATTCCCCTATTAACTTTTATTTATATTTAATTATTCCAATTGTCAACTTATGTTTTTTTAATTTAGGATGTCATATCACAAACGGATGAGAGTTTTACTCCCTCAACAGCTGATAAATCAACCGCAACAAGTCCAATGAAAATATCAGGTGATTTGATGCGCAACCTCCATGACGTTTATGATGTTGATGGTGGAGGTGATTTGAGTTCAACAAAATCTAAAAGACTATCAATGGGAGACGGAATTTTACTTTTAGTTCCAAAAGTGGAAAAGTGAGTTGTTTTTTGTTTTAACAAAAAAATAATTACTTTCATCT